AGAATGAAAAATTTCTCACCCAACTAATTAAAGAGTTTCAAGAGTTAAGTCAACAATTAGAATAGTATGTTACGAGAAGAAGTTATCAGTAGTTGAAATAACTTAAAAGAGAAGTTTGCTACTTATAAAGATGACTGAGAAGAAGCTGCCTTAGCGACTATCTATGCTAAGGAGCAAATCATTAAGAAATTGGAACAACAATTAGCCGACAATAAAAAAAAGTTAGAATATTTAGAAATTTATCAATGAATGTCCGTGTTGGAAATTTCGGGTGAATGAAGCCCCGAAAAAAGGGATGACTTTCTGTGCCAACATAAAGAAATAGAAGTTAAATTAATCATTGAAGATAGTATCTCCGATAATATTGATTTATCCGGTTGACCTCATATTAAAGCTATTGAAATCGCTACCGGCAAGGTAAAAAAAGATGTTACTTTGGCTTGTGCTTTTATTGGGGCAAATGAGACTAGATTTAGCAATGCCCTTCCCGATCCGACTTGAGAAAAGAAACCAGCCTCAGTAAGTAAACTTATTTGTCCCACGGAACTTAATCCTACTTTCCTCCGCCGCGAACTTCTAACTAAGGGCTTGGATGAACTCAACATGAGTTTGTTTTCTTATATTTACCAACTTCCGAAAAATAATGACTAATCCCACCCTCAATTAACCAATCTTTAATAAAACTTATTAATAATAAGCTTATGAAAAAAACTACTAATCCCAAGAAAACTAAGTCCAACAAGAGTTTTAAGACCTACTTAAAGCGGATTGAAGACCCTAATTATCAAGGGGGTTCTTGGGCTTTGCCGGAGAATGCTACTACTTCGGAAAAAACCAAATACGAATTGTGTGAAAAAGTAATTAAATATAAGCGAAATAAGCAGTTTACTACCGAAAAATTAGCCCAAAAAATCCAATTAAGTAAAGCGGAAATGGAAGATATTCTCTACTGTCGGATTGATTACCTAACCTTAGACCGCTTACTAGCCTACACTGATAAGTTATTTGCTCCTGCCCAAGTAGAAATAGTTATTAAAGAACCAAAACCACGAAAAAGAAGTGCTATTTATGCCTAAGTCTCCTATTTTAAAAGAGAAAATTTGCGAGCATAATTGTCAGCTAGTTTTTAATGAGCAAAAAATAGTCAAAATAACCATTACTGACTATTACCAACAAAAACCCGGACGGAAAATGATTACTCATGAGTTAATTGTTGAATTAGTCAAAACCTTGAATGGTCGCCAAGCCGAACCTGAACCCAAGGAAAATCCTAATGACCGTGAGGTTTTTGTACGAAATAGAATGATTTATCAAGGCAAAAAATATCGCTTAATCTTCTGATTTAAAGATAACACTACTAACCATCTTTGAATTAGAAATTGTCATCGGCAGGATTAAGTCTCTTTGGCTCTTGCCCCACTTACTTTTAACCCTTTTTATCTATCCCTAACCCAAAGCATTTTCTACTTTACTCTTTTATTAAAACCTAAGAAAAATATTTACCTGAATACCCTCTATTCGGACAATAAAGAATAATTATGACTGAATACAATTTTGAAGATTTTAAAACCTGACTAAATAATCATCCGGAAATAAAAAAGTTAGCCGATGATGATGATCTTGAAATTACGTGAGAAGATGCTGAAGAGTTAGGGATAAATATTTTAGATGATATAGAAAAAACTGGAATAGAAACTTGGATTAAAGAAATGCTTATCATTTATGATAATAAAAGTAATATTTTTTTGAAAACTGTCATGATGTGAAAAAATGAAGTAGACCAGAGAGAGAGAGCAACCGCAATACTATGAACCAATTACGCAATGAAATTAGTGATTTAGAAACTAACACTAATAAAACCCCACAACAACAGAGTGATTTAGATACCAAAAAGCAGCAATTAAAAGATTTAGAAAATAAACAAAAAGAGTTAGAAAAACCCTTAGATTTAACAGTTCTAATTACTAAATTACAGTCTGAGATTAAGCAGTTAGAAAAGAAAACTAACCGAACTGAAGCCGAAGAAAACTCTTTACAAATTAAAAAGAAACAGTTAGCCGAATTATTAGCCAAGCAGAATAATAAGTTCTACTGGTAATAAGCCAAGTGATAAGACTGCTTGGATAGTAGGAGTGCTGTTAGTTGGCTTAGTGTTTGTGTTGGTAAGAAGAAGTAAAAATAAAAGGAATAAATATTAAAAATATGACAAACTGAAAAGATATTCATCCAGATTTTACGACTGAACTACAAGCAGAATGAGAAGATAAAGGGTTCAATTATGAGCAAACCAAAGAATGAATAGACATTGGTTTACAACCAACTAATACTGATTATGCCCAGTGATTAAGAGATGAAGCTAAAACTAATCCGCAGTGAGTATTAAATTATGGAGATCAAGCTTTAAGGGGTGAATATTTGAAGCAACGAAAAAATCAAACAGTTAACTTTCCTTCTATAAATAGTTTTCTAACTAATGAAATTCCAGTCTCTGAATCAAATATTAACAATGATGAAGAAGAAGAAAAAGATTGAAAAGATATTCATTCCGACTTTGCTAAAGAAACTTATCGTGGTAGCAATAAAACTTATCAACAATGATGAGAAGACCAAGGATTTACTTACGAAGAGGCTAAAAAATGAATAAAAGCAGGATTTAGTATTGTCCATGATTATTCAAATGCTAAAGGTTGAAAAGACCAAGGTTTCACTGCTGAAGAATCTAAAACATGAATTGAAGCTGGCTTATTAAAGGGAGATTATCAGTGAGTTAATTCCTTAAAAAAAGAAAACGTTAGTCCCAAGCAATATGAAAATTTAAGAAAAAATCCCTCAGAATGAATGGATTACTTTTATCCTTTGGAAAAAAGAAATGAAATAACAAGTTTAGATATTAGTAATAAAACCTTAGAAGGTGAGATGAAAATCAACAATTTTCCTAACTTAGAAAGAATAGATCTTAAATCAGTAGTAGAAGGAAATAAAATACCAACCTTAGCTTTAGTTAATTTGACTAGTCTTAAAAGTGTTACTAGCAATAGTGGTAATTGGAGTGGTTTAGGTAATAATAAGCTTTCTCACCTAATTGTTATTAATTGCCCGGAAGTTGCTATCTTTAGGATTAAGAGTGCCTGAATTGAGGAAGTTAATTTTGCTAGTTTAAACCCCGAAAAGCTTATCGAATTAGAAATTAGTAATAATAATCTCCGAGCTCTAGACTTGTCTTGCTTGAGTAATTTTATAAATTTAGAAGTGCTTAAAGTAGGGTGTGATGAATATCACCGAAGAAATAATAAACAAAAAAGAAATCGCTTCTTTGGCTCCTTAGAATCTTTAAAAAACATGACTAAACTAAAAACCTTAGATATAAACAATACTGATATTGACTCGGGATTAGAATATTTGCCAGAAATTCTAGAAAAAGTTGTTTGTGCTGACTCAAATAAAAAAACAGGTTCCTATAAAATAAGAGAAGAGTTAAAAGATTATGCTTATAAACTCAAAGAGTGAAGGAAGAACTATATGCTACAAAAACAACTAGCTTCTTTAAAAAACAGTTCAGAAGCAAAAGACACCGACTACCTAGAAAAAAGAATTAAAGAGTTAGAAAGTTTAATCAAAAAACATAAAGAAAAAATAGTCGCTGCATTTCTTCGTTTTGCTCCGGCTAAAGAGTTATTAAGAGAATTAATAGTTACTCACCTAGAATATACTAAATTCAAAAAACAAGAGAGTGATTCTTTAGAGTATGATGAATGTTGCGAATCATATGAAGAAAAGTGTCAAGCAATTAAAAAGCAACTACGAGAAGAAAAAAAATTAACCAAAGAAGAAATGAATGAGGTTCGACATATTTTGAATGATTGCGAAGAGTTAATGAGTTGAGAGCAAGAATTAGAAGTCAAGCGTAATGAAAAACAACTATTATTAGAGGAAGGACAAAAACAGCACCCTCAAATAACCATCAGTGGCACAGTCCACGGCAGTGTTTTAATCGGTCCTTTACAAATTGGAGCCAATACAGATTTCAGTTCAAAAACATTCAATCCTTCCAGTCAACAATTAATTCAAGAACTACAAATTTTTACTCAGCAATCTCAAATAAAAGGTTGAGCTCAATCCCAAGACCAAATTGACTATGAAGAAACCAGTAGTGAAACTAGTAGTTTAAAACGAAGACTTTCCCAATTAGCCATCCAGGATTCTAATGAACAACCAAAATTGAAAAAAATAGACAATTCATCAACTAATAACCAAAAGCAACTATTAGAAATAGATTTAATAGTTAAACAAACTGAACTAGATAGTTTATTCCAGCAAACTAAAAGTAAAATCAGTAAATACGAACAAACTAATCAAGACCATGAATTCACCAGCCACTCAACCTTTTTAAATGATTTATTAGAAAACCAAAGAACTCTTACTATTTACCAACATTCACCTAACATTAGTGAAAATCAAATCAATACTGTTCAAGGACAGTTAACTGGAAGTAAAAACAATCTCTTACATATCATTACTTCCGAAGAATTAGCAAAAATTTGTCAACTTAAAGAAGAAATAGTCAAGTTAGAGTTAGAAGAAAATAAGCAATTAGTAACTCAGATAGAATTTCTTCCCAAAAATAACCACTAACTTTATCTCTTTAACTTTAAAATTATAATATATTTAACTCTTATGTATAACTCTAATATCTTGTACTATTTATCTTTATTATATATTTTTCCAGCCTCTCCCCTGCTTCTTTTCGCCCTAATAAATAAATAATTTTCGGCAATTCAGGTCCTTTTTCTTGACCCGTTAATACCTTCCTTACTAGCAAATAAAATTCTTTTTTTGGTGCTTGACTATTCTCGCTCGATAATTTAAGAGCATTTTTAATTGCTTCTTGTTCTCAATGGTCTAGTTGGTTAAGTGCTTTTTTTATTTCTCCTAAGCAAGCGATTTCCAGAACGTTTGGCTTGAATTCTTTAACTGGTCTGTGAAAAAAATAAGTAGTTAAATTAATTAATTCTTGAAAATAGTTTAATTGGGAACGGAACAAAAGGGATATTTGAACGATTCAATTTTTTTTTTCCGCGGGCAAGTTATATTCTTTGGCTAATATTTGTCAGGAATGTTCGGCAAATTCTTTTTCCGCTAATTGTTGAATATAGTAATTGTTGCATCAACCCAGTTTCTCCAAATCATAGACCGCTCCGCTGGCATTGAGTCCTTTTAAATTAAATTGCTTAATCGCTTCCGCCAAAGTAAAAAATTCTTGGGTGCTACCGGGATGCCAACCTAAGAATAATAAATAATTAACTATCGCGGGGGGCAAATATCCTTTGGATCGTAATTGACTAATTAATTGTCATTGACTAGTTTCTTTATCTCGTTTGGAAAGTTTTTTTTTTTCTTTATTAAGAATTATTGAGATATGTCCGAAAAGCGGAGGATTTCATTGTAACGCTTCATATAAAACTAATTGCTTGCTAGTATTAGATAAATGCTCCTCGCCCCGTAAAACATGGCTAATTTTCATGCAATAATCGTCAATAACTACCACAAAATTAAGCAGAGGGGTGCCATTGCTGCGACAAATTACAAAATCCTCAATATCTTTTCCCGCAAATTTCACTTCGCCTCGCACTAAATCACGGAAAAAATAACTTCTAGTTGGGGGGATTTTCAAGCGCAAAACATAAGGCTTTTGGGTTTGGAGAAAAGATTCAATCTCATTTTCGCTCAATTGTAAGCATTTCCGCGAGTATTGATAATTACTTCGCTTATTTTCTCTTATATACTCCTCTTTTTCTCGGGTTAGTTCCTCGGGAGAGCAAAAACAGTAATAGACCTTTTTTTCTTTTAATAGTTTATTTATATATTTATAATAAATATCTAACCTTTGTGTTTGCTGATACGGACCATATTCGCCTACTTGGAAAATTGACTCATCTGGTTTCAAGCCTAATCAGCATAAATCTTCATACTGATTTTTAATAAATTCTTGCTGATTTCTTTTAGTATCAGTATCTTCGACCCGCAGAACAAATTGACCGCTATTTTGCTGAGCCAAAAGATAATTAAATAGTGCCGTCCGTGCTCCGCCAATATGTAATTCTCCAGTAGGGCTAGGGGCAAACCGAGTTCTAATTATATTTTTTTTAATTTCCACCATGAGTAGACTTGACATTTTTTTTAATTTTTCTCAGTTCTTTATGAATCAAATAAATGTCAAGTGCCGCAAAAAGTATCGGAACTAGATAACTTATAACCATTAAATGCCCATATTCACCTAACTTATTTTCTTCACTGCTACTAACGGCAATAAAGGTTAATAATTGACCGGCAATTGTTATTATTCCAAATTTCTTTAAGGTTTCTTTACAGTGTTCATTCGACTCAGTGGCCTTGGTAATTATATAATCTTTTTTTTTATTTGATATCCCCTCGGATTTATTAATAGCATAACACATTTGATTAAAAGGAGATTTTAACAACGCTGTAACAAAACCATCTAGGCTAAATAAAAGCCCTTGAATTACAGCCATAATAAGGACAAAAATCCTAACGTCTCCGTCTCAGCCATGACTTTGTGTAAAATTTTTTCCATGTTTCACCATCACAAAAGACCAAAAGAAGTAAGCAGCAATATAAATAAATATCAATCAAAATAAATATTTTCAATATTGCCGAAATTTTTCATCAATCCTTCGGAAAGTTTTCTTATCTAGTTTTTTAATAATTTCTTTTTTTTGTTTTTCTGTGTTTTTATTACCCATATAGAAAAATATATTTTACTAACCTTACTTAACTAGACTGTTAATTTTCAGCGACCTTTCTGTCGTCGTTTAACAATTACGGAATAATTTTTTTTCATTCGTGCCAAAAAACCGTGCTTTCTTAATCTTTTCTTTTTTTTGGGTTGATAGGTTCTTTTCATAATCAATATATAATTTTAATACTTTTTTGTTTTTCACTAGCCAAACAAGTTAATTTTTTTCTCAATAAAATCCTAAATTAGGGGGCAAGAGGTTAAATTAGAATAATTTTTGCCAGTTAAAAGGAAAATACCAACCAGTACAAGTATTACAATAAAGTAGCCAGAGTCATAAGATAAAAAAGAAGTTGCCAATTATTCATATAATTCCTATTTTCTTTAACCCATATTTAACTTTTGGTCAGGACTGTCGAGAAACTGCATTATTTTTCGGTCAGGAGAGTTTATTATTGGTTTCGTCTTTAAACTCTTTTCATTCTCCCTTTCTCACGGATAAATAAACTTTATTTCTTGGCTGAATGACTGGCTTTTTATTAAAATAATAAATAACAAAATATAAAGCAAAGAAAAAGTAAGTTAAGTAAGGAAAAATTTTATACTTAATAGATTGAAAAATATTGGGTGCTTGCTCTCCCGCTCAGCCTAAAACTGTCCTCGGGAATTTGGTAAAGTGATGAAACGGAAGATAGAGAAAACCAAAAGTTAAAAAAATATAACTCAATAATTTTCATTTGGCAAAGGAAATAATTTTCTGGGACCGAGTATAGTGGTAGAAACAAAATAAATAAAGAAAACGAAAAACCAAAAAAAGTAGCAAAGGAATTCAAAAAATAAAAGACATTTTATATTTCGGTTTAGGGGTTTTTCCTAGTCATTGCGGATAAAAATATTTCAACATAAGTGAAAATGATTAATTATTTTTGCTATATAAAAAATATTCTGCGAACTTTCTATACATAAATTTTACTTTTAACTCTCTTTATACGTAAAATAAATTAATAATTCTCTAACTATGATATTAAAAATTCTTCTCTGGTTCTTAGGACTGGTAATTATAATTTGTTCTTTTTTCTTTGGCGAAGAAGAAACTTTTTCTCCCACGCAGGAAAATAAAGAAAACGTCTATAAAAGTACTCATTTTACTAAATTAACTAATATTATTCGCAATTTTTACATGATATTAATACTGGCTTTTTTAGTATTAGCTTACCTACTGGTCTAATTTAGAAACGGTATTTATTTTTCTCAATTCGTCAAGGATTTGGTGGTTAATTTCATTTATTTTTCGCCGATAGCGAGGAAGTTTATAATAGCAATCAAAAATACTTCGAACTAGGTTAAACCATCAGAAAAACAAAGAAACCAGTGTAAATACAATTCAGATTGCGTTAAGCCATTTATTTCCCTCTTGTCATTTAAAACTAGTGCCTTTTTCTAAATAAAGAAAAAAAAAAGATTAAATGCGATAAGAAGGAACCAAAGAACGTTTTGCTGGTAATTTCATAATATTTGGTTATACAAGTTATCTCTTTTGTCTTCTCAGAGATGTTTTTTTCGAAATAGTTCAAATAATTTTGCGTTCATTTTTCCTAACAACTTACCATTTTTTTTAAGCGCTTTCAGTCGCTACTATCCAATAAAGAACTTTTTCGTAAATGTCTTTTTTGTTTAGTGGTTTTGTTGTAAGCCAAATGGGAAGTATAAGCCCGTCAATGTTTTAATTTACCTTTGGATAAAGTTTTAAAGCGTTTAGCGAGGGAACTTTTCGAGCGAAATTTTATGCTTGACATATACTAATTTTTAGTAGAAAAAAGAAATAAAGATAAGATTATTGTTTTTTTTGATAAAGAAAAAAATAGAGACTGCCGAAGTGGGAACGAATATTATCTTTTAACTCAATTTTCGGGTCGTGATTTTGTAACTGAGTAATTATTTGTTGGCATTTTTCCCGAGCTAATTCGGGCTGAGTTTTCTCTTTGCCCCGCATAATTAAATTAATTTTTACGGCGGCTCCGTTGGCTAGTCATTTTTGGACTTTTCCCAACTTAACCCTTAAATCATTATCACCAATGTTGAAAGAAATTCTTACTTCTTTGGAATTGTTTTCTTTTTTATCTTTCTTTTTTTTGTTTAATTCAAAAAGATATTTTTGGTAATTGATTAACTTACAAACGGGGGGACTAGCGTGCGGTGCTACGCAAAAAAGGTCTAAACCAAGTTTTTTTGCCTTAGTTAAAGCGGCTTGCTTAGTAATATTTTCTTTTTCTTCGCCGTTAATTAGCAAAAAACGAGAAAAGGGGATATTTTCATTGAGAAATGGTGAAGTTTCTGTCTTTTTATCTTTTAAAACCATGCTTCTTTCGTTTTGCTATTAGAATTAAGGTATTAGCAACGATTAAAATTTTTGGGCTGTGATTTTTATCTTGGTTCATATTATACTTATTTTATTACCCGCTGGGAATAATTTGTTATTTTAATTAATAATTTAAATTATAAAATAATATTTAAGTAGATTAAAATCCTCCGAATTTCTTTTTCAACTCTTCTAATTGCTTGCGTAATTGAGGGTCATTCAGTAATTTATCCATTTCACGAGGGTTTTTCATCGCTTTTTGCAATTTTTTCATTTTTCTTTTGATATATCAACCAACGATTAATATTGTGACAACCGAAGTTAGTACCACAGTGCCGATTATTATGAAAGTTAATTGTGTTCCTGATATTTCCATAATATTATTTTGGGGAGTTAGCGAAATTATTCGCAATTTTTTTGCCTTGTTGAAATAAGAAAAAAATATTGACACCGACTATAAAAAAAATATAAAAATTAGTCATAATAATAAATGGAGAAAACTGAGTATATAAGAGCCACGGCGAAAATTGTTGCCAATATTTTAAAACAATTAAAAAAGGAAGCCAAGCCCGGTAGGTGCGGTAAGGATTTGGAACAAAAAGCCCGTGAATTAATGGAAAAGTTCAATGTTTATTCTTCTAGTTTAGGTTATAAGGAATTTCCGGCTGCCATTTGTGTTTCTTTAAATAGTGAATTAACTCATGGTATTCCTAGCGAACAACTTTTTCAAGACGGGGATTTAGTATCCATGGATGTCTGTTGTTATCAAAAAGATAAAGCAGGAAAAACTTACCATGCTGATGCAGCTTTAACCATGATTATAGGTCACGGAGATGAAAAAAAAAGAAATTTATTAAAAGTAACGAAAAATAGTTTATATTATGCTATTCAAAACATTAAGCCTAATATTACCACTACCCAAGATATTGGTGCTATGTTAGAAAAATATATTCGCACTCGTGGTTATTATCCCATTAAAGAGTATGGCGGGCATGGTATCGGAGAAAAACTTCACCAAGAACCTTTTATCCCTAATTATAAAACTCCAAATAAAGGAGAAATTATTCGGTCAGGAATGTTTATTTGCATTGAACCGCTGGTCCAAATTGGCGATAGTGAAATTAAACTGGCGGCTGATAACTGAACAGTGGTTTCCCAAAATGGCTATTTAAACGCTCATTTCGAACATACCATATATATCGGTAAGGAAAAAGCAGAAATATTAACGAATTATGACGAACAATAAAGATTGCTTATTAGTATCAGGCAAAGTAATTAAACCATTAGGGGCTAGTACTTTTCTAGTTCAATGTGAAAACGGAAAAATAATTACGGCCAATATTACCGCAGAATTTCGGCGAAAAAGAAGAGAGTATAAATCAATAAGAATAACCCAAAACGACCGACTAATAATAAAAATGAATTTAAATGATTTTACCAAAGGAGACATTGTGGCTTTTGCCAAATAAAAATAATAAACAACCCGAACTTTTTTCCTTGCGTCTTTCTCTATTCTATTTTTTCCTTTATACAATAAATTAGTTAAAATGTTGTTAATGGAGACTAAAAATAAAAGTGGTGATGAATTAATGAGGAAAATTGTCTTGGGATTAGAAATTCATATTACTCTTAATAGTGAAAAAAAAATCTTTAACTGGGAAAATACTTATAAAGGCGAGGGGCTTCCTAATAGTCAAGTTGGAGTCTGAGAATTAGGTTATTTGGGCGTTTTGCCGATAATTAACCCCGAAGTTATTCAGTTAGGTCTAAAACTGGCGACGGCTTTAGAAATGAAAATTAGTCCAATTATTCTTTTTGACCGTAAAATTTACAATTATTTTGATTTACCAAAAGGCTATCAAATTACTCAACAAGAAACCCCGCTGGCTACTGCTGGCTATTTACCAATTATTAAGGAAAATAAAATCACGAAAATACCAATCAAAGTTCTCCAATTAGAAGAAGATACCGCTAAAAGCACTTATTCGCAAGAGGGAGTTAAATTAGATTTTAATCGAGCCGGCAATCCCTTAATTGAATTAGTTACTGAACCAGTTTTCCAGCAGGTCGAAACAGTATTAATTTTTATTAAACAATTGCAAAATCTCCTGCGTTATTTAGATATTTCCCAAGCCAAAATGGAACAAGGACAATTGCGAATAGATTTAAATTATTCTTTACAGTTAGAAAATAGTTATTCCACCCCTCGTTATGAAATTAAAAATCTCAACTCGCTAGCCAATATTGAAAAGGCGTTAAAATGGGAAATTACTAAGCATGAATTATTGTTTTCTCAAGGGCAAGAACCTCCGGCTAGCCAAACCCTAGGATTTGATGAGACCAAACAAATAACTATTACTCACCGCCAGAAAACTGACTATTTTTATTTACCGGAAGTCAATATTCCTCCGCTTAAATTAACCAGCAGAGATAGCAAAAAAATTAAAAAAGAAGTTGCTAATTTGCCATGATTATATTGAGAAGAAGCCAAAAAAACGGATGAGAAAACAGCTAACGCTCTTATACAAAACCCGCCTTTACTGAAAATATTTAACTTTCTCCACCAGAAAAAGGCCTTAGACAAAAAAGAATATAAAAACTGATTAACTTTTTACTTAAATTATTTATCCCCGCAGGTAGATAACGACCTTGATTTTTTTACTAAAAAATGAAAATCTTATTGTCAAGTTTTCCAGGCTTGAAAAGAGAAAAAACTGGATAATGAAGAAATAAATTCCATAATTAGAGAATTAAAAGAAACCCCCAAAAACTTTGCTTTACTAGTAAAAAGGTATGAAAAAAAAGCCAACGTTAATGAAAATCTAATAGAACAAGAATTAAAAAATCTGTGAAATGACCAATTGGCCCAAGTAATTACTACTAATCGGCAAAAAGTTCAAAATTATTTGCTCGGACAAGTCAAGCAAAAATTCCCGGACTATTCAGTAAAAGAAGTAGTGGTGATTATCATTAACTTTCTTCAAAAGAAGAATTAACAACTTTGTAATATTGTTATAAAATTCCCATTAAACTCCCTAATTTACTGGCTTTTTTTTTTTTTTTTTTTTTTTGCTGATATCAGAAAAATTAACGCTATAAAATTAAGATAACCAAATTAAAGAATTACAAACCGAAATTAACCACTTAAAAACTGAGAAAAGTAAGCCAACTAGCGAAGATATCGAAAAAATTACCGAATTTAGCAAAGAATTAAGCATTACTGATAGCAAATTGACTGCAGAATTACAAACTGCTACTAGTTATCAAGAATTATTCAACATTCAGCACAAGACTTTCAAAGCCAAATTAGCAAGTGAAGTAATTAGTAAAAATATGGCTAAAAATATGAATTACTGCTTAGGGACTCATTGGCGGCTTAGTATTGTTAACTTAAATGATAGTTAAGCAAACTAAAAATAATTTACCAAAAATAGGTAAAGAGGAAAGGAATAAATAGCCCCTTATTTATCCAATGAATTTTAAGGTCATGCAATTATTACTTAACATCATAACCAATCCTTAAATTATCTTTATCTTTTTTGATATTACGAATAATGATTTCACCAATTTCGGAAGTAGTGCTGATATGCGTTCCGCCACAAGGATGGGGTAAAAAATTACTAATTTTAATAATTCGGGACTGGTTATGGTATTCAACTTTTATTGGAACGTTTCTTTTTACTAGTTCATTAGCCAAGTTACGAATTTTTTCTTTGTTGGCTGCAATATCAGCCGGAATTTCACCCGCAAAAATAACAAACGCTTGACCGCCCGGAAAATGATTGGCTCGAATACCTTTTAAAGCAGGATAGATTTGGTTAACGGTATCGCTTAATAATTGACCGGCCGAATGTAAGCGGGAATAGAGAAGTCGTTTTGCCCAGTCGATTACTTGGATAACTTTATCCCCCTTTAAAAAATCCCCCCTCCCCGTCATAATAGTGTTTAATAATATATGGTTCTTGGTATGGGTTATGGGGTGCTATCAGTTTTTTAACCGGATATCGTCGACCTGCTATTTCTAAGTAGCCTTCGTCACTGGGTTGCCCACCTCCTTGTGGATGGAAAATAGTTTTATCGAATATCACATAACTGCCATTGTCATCTTTTCCTCTTTCTAATATCTGGACTTCTAATTTATCTAAGTAAGTATCAGCGTAATATACTCTTTCAGCAGAAATATTAGTCATAATATATAATGGTGGATAGTTTTTTAAGAACTACCGACAATTTTTTTAATAATTGGTGGAGATGACGGGATTGAACCCGTGTCCTTAGACGACTAGTAATTACTTCTACAACTTAGTTTATTATTGCTTTCCCTAATGAATACTAAAAAACGAATATGTTTCAATAGGTAGGGTATTTTTTTGGATAGACAATTAACAAGTAAATAAGCAAACTTTAATAATTGACCCAAATTTTATTACGAATCTATTCGAATTGGGCGAATAGACAAGAACTAATTAAGAATTATATTCTCGCGTAGTTGTGTCCTGCGTTGCTATTAAGCAAATTAACAGGAACGTCGTTATTAACTTCGTCGTTTTGATTTTTTTTCAAATCTAGTTTATTGCGATAATCACTATCCTTTATCTAAGTCAAAACTCACATCCCCGTAGGTGATATTACTCTGTCATCTATATTATTAATTTTACAATTATTTTCTTTCGAATTTTAACTTGATTTTTTTCTATATGAAGAACTAACGAATTTGCTATTAATTATTCAGTATAACCAGCGATAAGTAGTTACTCAAATAAATTAAATTATTGGTGATAATCAACCAGCAAATTTTTGAATTCCTGGACCATGCTTTGTAAGTTTTCTAATAAGGGTTGATAAATATTGGTTTCCTGCAAATCGAATTCAACATCTTTCAGAATTTCCAAGGGGTCTTTATGACCGCCGGCTTTTAAGAATTTCAACAAACGGTCATTATTACCACTTTTAACCTCTTGGTATAATTGAAAAGAAACAGTAATGGCTATGGCATATTTATAAACATAATAAGGGGAGTGAAAAAAATGAGATATTCGTGGTCAATGGTAAAATTTTTTGTCAGGTTCTTTTTTATCAAAGATATCGCCCCCAAATTCTTCATTAACTTTTTGAAATAAATCAGTTAAATTATCAGCGTTTAAGGGAGCATTCACTTCTACCATTTTATGAGTTTCTCATTCGAATTTAGCAAATTGAATTTGGCGAAAGAAAGTGCCGATAACTTCTTCAATCCTATTTTGTAAAAGATAAATTTTCTCGTCCTTGCTTTTGCTATGGCGGTAAAGATAATCAAATAACAAGTGTTCGTTAAGAGTAGAGGCTACTTCGGCTAAAATAATCGGATAATGAGCGTTAGGGTAAGGTTGACTTTCTTCAGCCAATAAAGTATGAACGGAATGACCTAATTCATGAATAAGAGTATTAACCGAATTAAGCGTCTCATCCCAGTTCAGCAAGATAATTGGTTCAACTCCTTCTCCGCCGGAAGAATAAGCTCCCTGTCGTTTGTTAGTATCTTCGTAATAGTCAATTTGGCCGGGTTGTAAAGCTAAGTTTAATTTTTCCTGATACTTTGGTCCCAAGACTGTTAAGACTTCTTTAATTAAAACAATTGCTTGGTTAACGGTAAATTGCTGCTGATAATGGCCAACTATTTTCAAACTATTATCGGTTCCATAAAACTTGGTCAAACCCAAATAGTTTTTCTTTATTTGAACAAATTCTCGTAATAAGTTGCTATTGGCTTGGCCTGCTGCAATTAAGTTTTCATAAATTTTACTAGGAATATTATCGGCTATTAACCCCATGGCCAAAGTTGATTGATAGCCGCGAATGGTTAATTCCTCAATGCTAGTTCTTAAAATACCCTCATAAACTTTCGCTAAAGAATGCTTTTTATCATTAATGGGAGCATTTCATTTTTGATTGACTTGATAACGAAATTCTTGCTCAGTTTGGGGTTGGGTTTGCTCCATGATTTTAGTATATAAAGATAAAGTTAATTCTTGCTTTTTACCTTCATATTCCACAAAAATAGGCGACCGGTCAGCATAAACCAAAGTATCATAAAGTTCGGTCGCTAAATGACGAGAAGCACTAACTTGACTCAGTAATTTTTCTTGCTCTTCGACCAAAACATATTTATCTAAACGAAAAAATAACTCGAACTTATGTTGATAAATTTGTAAATCTTGATTATCTTTAATTTGTTCCATTATCACTTGGGAACCAATTTTCTTTAGTTCCGGCTCTATTCAGGCTAAATCGGTGGAAATTTTCTGACACTTGTTAGTATATAAAGTCGTTAGGTTTTGGAAATTTAAGTCAGTTAAATCAAGGTCAGCAAAATGTAAATAGTGGTTTAATTTAGTTAATTGGAAAGTTAAATCTTTTTCTAATTGTAGATAGCGACGAAAATGTTCTAATTTATTTAACTTTCCTTGAAGTTTCACTAATTCTTGGGTGATTTTATCTAAACTATTTAATTCTTTCTCTCACGCTGGCTGATTAGCGAATAGGTGGGAAAAATTTCATTTGTATTGGCTTGGCACTTCCTTTCTTTTCATTTAATTAAAATTTTATCAGCGTTTTATCCTTTAATAAATGTGGTTGGGAAAGAAAGGTTAATGAGTTAGAGGCGACAGCAACAAGAAAATCAAAAATTAAAAGGTTAGTGATTAAAAAATAATTAAAGTAAAATATTTTTAATATAAGAAAATGCAAAACCTCGGCTTTTACCTGAATAAAGTTAAAGAATGATTTAAGAATGGGTGGAAATTTTTGTTTGAAGATACGGAAAAAATTCAAGCTCACCATTTAATTGCTTTTTTATTGACTATCTTAATAATCTGACTTCTTTCTTATATCATTGCCCGCTTATTTAGCACGATAATAAAAATATGTCTAATTATCATTGTCGTTTGGTTATTATGAATGTTAATTTTTGACCGAGGTAAATTTAATGAATTATTCGACAAGCGAACTTATAAAAAAAGTGAAAATGATGATAATCGAGGGAATTAATTTAGTTATCTAAAAAACTTATGAAAGGAATTTTAAAAAGAATAGCTCTTTATTTCTTGTTAATATTGCTAATAATCGCTACCATTTACTCTATTCAGTGAATTAGAAACAGTAAAAAGACGGAAAAATCAGAAAATAAAAATGAGGATAAGAAAGATATCCCGACGCCACTGCCACCTGTTCCTAAACCCCAAGATACCGAAAATTGATGACTAACCGACGAGGAAATTAACCATGCTTACCAAGAAATTGAAAAAGAGTTAGGCAATTCCGAAATAAAATTAGTTAGTCCTAGTGTGGTGCGAGTTATCCAAGGGGGAGGGGAAATTAACGAGGATTTAAAGCAAGCCAAAATTATTTTCTTTCCGATAAATAATTCGGAAAGTCACGAGACAGCAGATACGGGAAGCCATTGGACTTTGTTGGTTTGTGATAATAGAGCAAGAGTAGGTGCTTTCAGTCATTATAATTCGGCTGGTCCTGCTGTTCCGAATAGTGCTAAGAAAGTAGCCGAAAATTTTTGTCAGAAATTAGGCACGGACCAAGAGTATTTGCCTCCTGCAATTTATAACGACCACGATTTTCCACAACAAACTAACAGTGCCGATTGTGGAGTTTATGTAATCGCTTTTACACGGGCTTTGGCAAAAAGGTCTCAAAAAGGTAATTATAATGCTGGTTTGAAAGCCGAAGACCTAATTTTTTCCATTGCTGAAGAAAGACAAAAATTAAAAGCGGCTGGTTTTCCGAAAAAAGGTTCGCCCGGAAAAGATTATGATATTGGTGATGATGTGGCTTATACCGAGGAGGAGGAAAATCGTATTTTAGAGTGGTGAAAACGAGAATCTGGTTGAGAAACTCCTTTAAGAAGAGAAATTATGACAATTTGGCTGGAATATTTGTTAAAAGAGCAACTTTTCGACCTTGCCACTTCACCAGACAAAGCGGCTAATAATTTTAAAGAGTTCAGCAAAAAAGTTCGCTTATTAAGTGGTAAAAGTCTAACAAAGGACAAATTACAAAAAGTATACCGCCTAAAAAAGATTTTAAAAGCCTGTAGTTTATTGTCAGAAGAATTAAAAAAAACTAAATCTTTTGCTGGGGAAAATAATTTTGGGGATAAACTAACCGCAACCGAAAAAAATTTCATTAAACAAAACATAAATAAAGAAACAGTGGAGGAAATAAACAATTTATATAATCTTTATTTTCCAGGAGAGTAAAGTTAAATTAAAAAGCTGAAATTATTTACTAAAATCAGGTGTGCCAGTTAGCGAACAAGTGCCGTCAATATTTTTGGGAAAGGCAATTAATTCTTTTAAATTCTTGACTTGGCAAATAACGGCTAATAAACGGTCAATTCCTAATCCGATTCCCCCGTGCGGTGGAGCGGCAAACTCTAAGGCTTGTAAAAAATAACCAAAATATTTTTCTCTTTCCTCCTGATTATAACCCAATATTTCTAATACCTTGGCTTGTAATTCGCGTTGGTGGATACGGATACTACCACTTAATATTTCTTCCCCGTTACAAATTAAGTCAAACGCTTCACTGATTATCTTTTCCGGCTTAATTTTATTATTTAAACAAAGTTCAATATATTTTTTTTGCGGAGTAGTAAAAGGATGGCGTAACGGTTCATATTTTTTGGTATCTGAATTATATTCAAAAAGAGGTCAGTCAGTTATTCAACAAAAATTTAATTCTTTTTCCTTATTAGCCGAGTCACGCAAATCTGGTTTATCAGTTTTATACTTTTTTATTACTTCGTGGTAAGTTAGAGTAGGAAAAGGTGTTTTTAGGTGATAACCAAAAACTTTTTTTATCACAGTTTTCAACAATTTTTCAATAAATAATTTAATTTGTTGCGAAGTGATAAAACTCATTTCTAGTTCCAATTGTGAAAATTCGATTTGGCGATTACTACGAGCATCCTCGTTCCGGAAACTTTTGGCTATTTGGTAGTATTTAGCAAATCCACTGACCATTAGCAACTGCTTAAATATTTGGGCGGACTGGGGCAAGGTATAATAACGGTTTGGCAAGTTAGCAGGAACGATAAAACAGTTAGCACCTTCGGGGGAACTTTGGGCTAAAATAGGAGTTTCAATATCAATAAATCCCTGTTTATGGAGAAAATTTCGTAATTCATGGCAAAATTGGTTTTTAACCACCAGAAGTTTTTTACTATTGGGACGACGTAAATCTAAATAACGATAGCGATATTTAGTATCTTCATTAATATTAATTTCATCCTTGATTTCAAAAGGCAATTCTTTACTAGCATTAATTAATTGCTGTTTTTCTAGTTCTATTTCCACTTCTTCGCCTTGGTTTCCTTTTCTTTTAACGATTCCTGTTATTTTTAACAAATCTCCTCGTTTTCTTTCTTTTAATTCGGCAATTAGCCCTTGATTTTTAACTACTATTTGAGTATAACCACTGCTGTCTTGCCCGATAATAAATAATAAATTACCTAGTTTACGAATTTTGTTAATTCAGATAGAGAGAGAAACTTTTTTGTTTAATTTTTTACTAGTTAAGGTAATGATTTTTGTGAAAGAGGTCATTTTTTTATTAGGGGGGAGAATAAATATTTAAGTAATTTTAATTATTAAGAAAAGCCAAATACTCCTTTTATTCTTTTTCTGTTCTGCAGTAATTTCCCAATAAATAAATTTAGCCTGCCCTTCTTTTTCTTCATAAGAAAAGTTCTCGCCGTGGGTTCAAAAACTATGAAGAGAAAGACCGTTTTCCTCCACATATTCGGAATAAAAACAACATAACTTTTTTAACGCTTCGGAGAGAATAGTATAAATTTCTTTCGGACTATTTTCTTCCTGGGAAAAATTATAATCTACTCCTTGCCGACATTTTTTTATTTCTTCTAGTATTTTCTTTCCTTTGTCTGTCATATATATATGTATATATCATTTTAATGCTTTTCTAATTTATTAGTTAGTGCCTTTTCTTTTTCTTTAATATTAAAGTCGTAGCCAGACCCAAAATGAAAAAAATGACTATCGCAGCCAAAATATAGGGGGTTTTGTTTCCCTTTTTTGGAAAGTTTTCTTTCTCCAATTGTTCTATTTCCTTGTCTAAAACGGCTTTTTCTTTTTCTAATTCTTGTTTCCTAGTTAAGTTATTAGCGTTGGCAATTTCCCGGCTTATCGTTTTTTGCTTGTTCTTTAATTCTTTAATTTTGGCTACTACTTGGCTTTGGTCGTGCTTTATTTCTCGATTATTATTTTCGGTTTCCTTATTACCGACCAAATTATTCCAGTAATCTTTTACTTCTCTTTCTAAGCGAAAAGGGTCTTTGGTTCATTCTTCGTCCTTCTCCTTTTCTTCCAAAAAAACACTTATTCATTTTTCTTGACCTTTCAACTGAAGAGAAATTTCCCTATATCAACCTGTCTCGACTTGTCCGCCATTTACCGTTGCTTCTTGCTTATTACTACCTCCAATACCAGTTATTTCACATCAATGAGAAAAATCCGGATTTTGGTTAATTTCGGCTTGGTGCTGTTGGTAAAACTCTTTTATCTCATTTTTTAATTCTTGAAGATTGGAACAAAAGCGAGCAACAACACTAACACTAAAATTGTGCGGTGGAAAATTGTCTTTTATCGGAGGAGAAGAGTAGGATGGAATTGGTTTAGTAATTGACCTAATATCAACAATCTTACCTATTTCTGTATGAACTTTTTTATAGAGCTCTTGGTGCTGTCGAGAGAAAAAATTGTCTTTGCTGAATTCTCCGACTGGAACTTCCTCAGGCTGTTGGTCCACTTCCAGCAAAAACTTTTTTTGGTCAGTTCCCTGCAATTCCACCACAATACTTCCAGGCGAAGTTTTGACTAATTTACCACTGCCGTTTCCACTATAAGTGCCACTGCTTTGCGAAATGGCAGTTAAACTTACTTTTTCTTTTCCGCCTTGGTTAACCACATATTCTTTTGCTTTATTTAGTAATTCTTCAAGAGTTTTCACTCTAATTTCTGCTTTACTCATAACTTTTTATATTTTTTAGTAATATAGAATAAATTTTCCTATATCATAATACATTATAAGTGGGGAGATTTACGATTTATTCACCCCAACTAAAAAAATAATTAAACAATAATACAAAGAATAGCAAAAAAAACTAGGGTAAATTTTGTCAATAAAGGAATAATTGAAAATACTCGTTGGGGGTTAAATTATGTGGGCGGATTTTCGGTGAATAATTATGGGTAGAAAAATATTTTTCCCATTCTTTCTTTCAATTACCAGCAAATCCGCCAAGATTATTTAATAACGTCTTGCGGCGAAACCGAAAACAATTTTTCAGAAAACGTCAAAATAATAATAACTGCTCGGAGGAAATATTATTACTTGGCTTAATTTTGGCTATTGCTAGTGCTCCTTCAACCGAAGGGGGCGGAACAAAAACTTGCGGAGGAATAGTAAAAGCGAGGGAAGTATCGGTCAAATAATTAATAAAAACTGATAAAGCCGAATACTGCGGCGGATTGGCTATTCAGCGTCAGGCTACTTCTTTTTGGACTAAAAAAACGAACGAGTTAAATAATTGATAATGAAATAATAAATTAACTATTAGCGAATTAGTTATATAGTAAGGTAAATTACCAACTATTAGCAGCGAATTATTTTTATAGGGAGAACAAAAATCTCATCAATTAACCACTAAGGCATCTTGATGAAAAAAAACGATTTTGCCTTGATTTTTATTATTTTCTTCTAATCAGCAAAATAATTTTTTATCTTTCTCTAAACCAATAACTTTTTGACAATTAGTTTCCGCTAACAAATTAGTTAAACTTCCATAACCGCTACCAACTTCAATTATTATTGTATGAGAGTCAATCGGGCAATTTTCAACTATTTTTTTTAGATAATTCCTATCGAACAGAAAATTTTGTCCTAATTTCTTATTGGGAAGAAAGGGGATTTTTTTTTGAATATTTTTTAGCACTTTTTAGTAAAATTATTAGCCAAAAAAACTTTTACTAAAAACAAGTTTCTCTTTTTATTTTTTTTTAATATATTCCCTCAGTAGAGAAAAGTTTCGTTGTAAGGTCAGAAAAAGTCTAAAACAATTATATATCTCAATTTAAATTTATAATGAAAAAAGAAAATAATCAATTAAAAATTGTCATTTATGGTTTTGATGTAATTACTACCGAAGAAGTTACTCGAATGTTTACCGAACAACTTAACCAAATCAAGGTTGATTTTAGTGGACCTGTTCCTTTACCAACTGAAAGAAAAAGGTTTAGTTTACCAATCTCTCCTCACAAACATAAGAGTTCCCAAGAACAATTTGTTCGCGAACTCCATCACCGAACTATCCATATTGCTAACCCTTCAAGCCAAGTTTTAGAAAATTTGAATAAGTTAAAAGTGCCGAACACAGTGGAAGTAAAATTTGTGGTGGGAAATTAGGAATTTTTGTGAACTTTAGTTCAATAAACTCGAAATAAACTTACTGGGATATAATAAGTTTTAGACCCAATACGGAATTTTTGCTTATTAATAGCAAATTTCCTTCTAGTTGCCCGGTTGGAAAAGGAGCGATTGTTGCCGGCTAATGGTTTTTTTTTTTGATTTAACATTTTTTCTATTGCTTGTTTTTTCATATGAAAATATTGGACTGATTAAAGGAAAAGGAAAATTATGGTTATTTATTTTTAATCCTTGTTCCTATTATATTATTTTTTTACTGAAGATGAAATTTATCGCGCCAAAAAGCAAAATTAAAAAAAATATTTCGGGAACAAAAAAAGCAGGCTAAGCAGTTAAAAGAAAAAGGAGAAAGGTTAGAAAACGCTAATAGAAAACTGGTCAATAATATCGAAAAAATTAAATTGCAAGAAGAAAAATTACGACAAGAAGAAAAAAGAATAAACAATTTTGCTAATCAATTATTACGAAAAGAAGAATTATTTACTCAACAATTAGTTACCAGTTCCCAACGAGAAAAAAAAATCCACGAGGAGATAGAAAAAAATAAAAGGATAAAGCAGCAAATAATAGAAAATTTAGAAGGGATTATTCTGATGAGTAGCGAAGAAGCCAAAACCATCTTATTTTCCTTAGTTAAAGAAGAAATCGAAAAAGATTTAAATAGATATAAAGAAAAAAAAATTAAGCAGGCGGAGGAAAAAATCCAAGCAGAAAGCACCAAAATAATTTGCTCGGCTTTGGAAAATTACAGTTCTGAACTAGTTTTTAGTAACACAGTCAATACTTTATCAGTTAAAAATCCGTCAGTGATTAGTAAAATAATTGGTAAGGAGGGTCGTAATATTAACGTTTTTCGCCGAATTACTGGTGTCGAAGTGATTATTGATGAAGAAAAAGAAGAAAACGTGACTATTCAAATTTCTTCTTTCAACTCTTTACGACGTGAGATAGCTAGTCAAACTTTACGTTCTCTTCTACAAGAAGAAAGAATTTCGCCCGCTCAAATTGAGAAAACTTTTCACAAAGTAACTACTGAAATTAATTCTCTGATTAGACAAACTGGTGAAGCAGTATTAAAAGAACTAGAATTAAGCGGCGTGCATTCGGAATTAGTCAAACATTTAGGGAAACTAAAATATCGCACTAGTTACGGTCAAAACGTTTTACAACATTCATTAGAAGTAGCTAAATTAGCGGGAAATATGGCTGCTGAACTGGGCTTGGATATTCATTTAGCTCGTCGAGTTGGCTTACTTCATGACATTGGCAAAGCAGTGGAGGATAACGGAGAATATTCTCATGTAGCAAGTGGGGTCATTTTAGCCAAAAAATATCGTGAGTCGGAAATAGTTATTAACGCTATTGCGTCCCATCACCACAATATTCCCGCTGATAATTTTTACTCTTCAATTCTTTTGGCGGCTGATAAACTTTCGGCCGCCCGTCCAGGAGTGCGAGGATATCAATTAGAATCTTATGTAGAACGGATGAACAATTTAGAAAAAATAACTAATGAATTCCCCGGCATCAAAAAAAGTTATGCTTTTCAAGCCGGACGAGAAATTTGAATAATTGCCGACGCCGAAAAACTAAATGATTATCAGACTTGGGAAACCTCTCATAAAATTAAAAAGAAAATTAAAGAAACTACTATTATTCCAGGCGAAGTAACTATTTATGTTATTCGAGAGAAAAAATTTATTCAAAAACTAGGTGATAAAAAGTAGAGTAATATAAAACAAAAAATTAAAAAAACCCCAACAGACAAAATAAGTTATTTATGTTGCTTAGGTAGCCGAAAAAAAGAAGAAAGGAAAATAACTTTTTTAATTATTTGGTGTAAAGTTGTATGTTAGTCCCTTAATTAATTATTTTTTTTCGGTAGTTGATTAGTTTGAGTTTGGTTTACTTTTTGCTGATTTAACTGTTCTTTTAGTTGGTGATTTTCCTCTTTTAAAAGTTGGATTGCTTTATCTTTTTGTTCGGTTAGTTCTTGGATTTGTCTTTCGCGGTGGTTTTTGCTTATTGTTATTATTTCTGCGACGGTTTTATCGCGGTCAATTGCTAACTCTTTTACTTGCTGGCGTAAGTTTAATATTTCTTGTTGGGCGATTTCTAAGTTGGCAGGAAGTTGATAATCGGGGTTTAGGTAGGGAAGGTCTTGTAGTCTTTTTAATAATTCTAAGTCGGGTGTTAAGGCTTGGTTAACTAACTTTGCTCTATTTTCGTATAAAGAAGCGGCAGGATTTTTGGGGTTCATAGCATTGCATTTTAAATTTTGCTGGGCTAAATATTCTAAATGCTTTTCATACTCTATATTTTTGCCTTCATATAAACGATTTTGAATAACCAAACAGCGGGCTAAGATGGTGTTGGCTATTTGGTCCAGTATTCAGTAATAGTTGCCTTTTCATTTTTTAATAAAATCTTTGGCTTCCTGCGAGCAAATTTTAGTTAAAAACTCTTTATTGTAGGCTGTTTCTTTATTTACTTGACTGGCTGTCTCAGTTAAATCACTAATATCTATTAGTTTCATTTCGGGAAAAGAAGCGTTAAATTTACGGACAAAAGTATCTCAAAGGAATTTAGCATCTGTGCTTGTTTGTAATAAATCACCACCCCGACAGTCTAATCGGACAATAGAAGTTTTTTCTAAGCCGATTATTTTATTATTGGTAAATAATTCTGCATCGCAATATAAGTCAGTTAGTTTAGGGTTGTGGCTGACATCAAGGGTGGTTAGTTGATTATTTTGGCAATCAAGTTTAGTTAAATTTCACAAATTTTCTAAGGTTAGTTTGGTTAGTGGGGTTTTTAAACAACTTCCATCAATCATCAAAGTTTTTAAATTCACATACTCACTTAAATCTAATTCACCTCCGTCTAATAATCCAGTAATGCCTTGGTTTTTTCTTTTTCTATTGATTACCTCAATTTCAACCGACCAAAAATCCCCCCTTTCCTCCGTCGGATATTTCCAATTTAAATATTCTTGGATAGTTTTACCTGTAAATTCCTTTTCGTTATTGTTGATTACCATAATATTATTATTTTAATTCCTCACAGTAAAAATACAAGATATTAGAGTTATACATAAGAGTTAAAGACTATATTATTAATTTTAAAAAGTATTCAAATACTAGATGCTTTTTTATTTAGGTGGGATTTGGGTGTTGGTTTCTAACCTTCCTACTTCTAATTGAGAAATTTTCTTTTGGATTTCTTTCAGTTTATTAAACTTTGAGTTATTGATTTTTTTTCCTAAAAATTTTTCTACTTCTATTTTTTCTTGCTTTTTTTCGTGAGAATTATTAGGAGAAGAAATTAACTCTAAATATTTTTCTAGTTTTTCTGCTACTTCTTCCTTTTTTTTACTTCTGAAATTTTTTAGACAATCATTTTTTAATTCTTCTATCTCTCTCTTTAGTTTTTCAATTGGATTATTTATTTTTAGTTCATTTTTCTGTTTTTTCTTCGTAGCAATTTCTGACTTCTCTGCTATTTCAATATTAGTTGCTGAGTGCTGAGTAGCTTGATAAGCAGCTCTTAATTCGGCTTCCTTTTCTTGATTTAGAACCTGCTCGGGGGTTAGTTGTTTGGTGTCGCGGAGTCAAGCACAGAAGTCAGCGTCAGTTATTTGGAGACCAATGTCGAGTCATTCTTTAACTTGTTGGTTAGTGAAGTTATAGGTTTGTCAGGTTTGGATTAAGGATGGGGTGAAGTTGGGGTGGATGGTAGCTCAACTAGCAGTGTAGTCTATCTTCATAGGTTCTGATTGGTATTGTTGGGTGTTTATTTCTTGGTCTAATTTAATTGATTTACTTTCACCTTGGTTTTCTGCTGAAAGTGATAGTTGTCTTTTGGTTCTCATTGCTAGACCTTTAATTTCCTTAGTTAGTTCACTGCTTGTTTTTTCATTACTATTGCTATTATTTAGGAAGTCATTAATGTCTAACTCTAAATCCCCAGTAGCATGACATTTTTCTAGTAGTTCAGTAATTTTCTTAGTATTGATTGGTTTACTATAATAAGAGGCTTTGGGGTGAATTTCATACTTGGGAAATCTGATGTGTTCTGGTAAGGTTTGATTGCATCGTTCGGCTACTTGGATTTGTTGAGTAAACTCGGTATCTTTTTTATAATAAACTTCATTATATCAATCTTCTAAAGACTTTAATAATTTGCTAGCAGTTGGTCGTTTCATTGAATCCGCACTTCAGCATTTCTTAACCAAATCTTCCAAAAATGGTGGAATTTTAATCTGAAACTTAGGTCGTAGTCCTTGACAAATTTTTACTGCTAAGAAATTATCATGAGTTAAATTATGATAGGGAGGCAAACCACAAAGCACCTCACAAGCCAATATTCCAAAAGAATAAATATCACTAGCTTGAGTATAAGGTTTGCCTTGGAGGACTTCGGGGGCTACATAAGGGAGAACTCCATAAATTTTCCCCTCACTAGTTTCACTAGTATGTAGACTTAAACCTAAATCCGTAATATAACATAACACTTCATTGCTTATTAATATGTTCCCTGAATGAAAATCTCGATGCACTATCTAATCCTTCTACAATATCTGTCAGTTGGCTTAATTTAAGACGAAAGTCTAATTCACTATAATTTTCTTTTAAATATTGTCTCATGTTTCCACCTTCCACATACTTCATAACCATCATATAATCCTTGGTTGTGGGGTCTTGAGAAACACCATAACATTTTACAACTTTATCAATATTACTAACAAGTTTATAATAAGTGATTTCTTTTAAAAACTCAGTTGTCATATTCTGGGAATTATTTAAACTTTTTAAAGCAACTTGTTTATTTCAATAGTTTTCGTCCCTTTCTCATTTATTGCCTTCAATATTCCAACCCAAAATTGGTCCATTGATCCATTTCGCCTTATAAACTTTGCCAAATCCTCCTTCGCCAATAGACTTTACATCTTCAAATTGCTCGTAAGGCACTCATTCTAAAATTCTATCTAAACGAACTGTATTTAGTTGGTATTTTTGGATAAATTTATCTATTTCTGGATTACCGCTAGTCCAGTTGTTAAAATCATCCTGAAAATGTTTAGTATTGCAAGATTGACACCACTCTCTATCAGTTATGTGTTTTTGACACTTTTTACACTCATATATCTCACACTTCTCTTTTAGTTCTTTAAATTTCTGTTCGTTGTGAAAAACTCATTCAGAAGTAACTTTTTTAACATCTCTTAGTCAAGTAATAAGTTTATAATCATCTGGTTTGACTCCGGCATTCACTCATTCTTTCGCTTGCTCTTTGTTAAATCCTCGTTTTTCTCACATTCTTCTTAGTCCGAAAGTAAGGCTAGAATGAACATCTTTTCATCCACTTTCGTATTCTTGTAATTGGGGAATGATGGCAGTTAATTGACAGGCTTGTCGGTAATAATTTGAATATCTAATCTTTTCTAAACTAGCAGGTAATTTAGTGAGATTTACTTCATTCAGATCAGTATTTTCAATACCAAGAACTCTTAATCTCTTCATGCCACTCAAATAATCCAAGGAACCAGTTCAACGATTGTAAATTCCTTGATTGATTTTTTTTTCATTTCAATTTCCTAATTCAAGTTGTTCTAAATTAGTCGTAGGAACTAAAAAAGCTAGGTCTTGGAGAGGGAAGTTATTATTTTTTAAGTCCAATGTTTTTAAATTAGTAGGATTAGTTGGCAAAGTGAGGTTAGTGAGTAAATTATCTCCGCAATAAAGATAAGTTAGATGTGAACAGCTACTGAAATGTAGATTGGTTAGTTTATTTTTTCAACAATCTAAATCCTTCAAATTAATAAAATCCGTGAGGTCTAAGTCTCCTTCGAGGTTTTTAGTGCTAATATTTAATTTGGTTAATTTTTCTTTGCTTTCTTGGGTGGGATAATGATAGTTAAGGTGTCTTTGGGCATTGATTAGATTAATCTCAGCATCTTTTGGTAAGTTTTTAAAAGTTAGTTTGGTTTCATCTACCTGCGGAGAAATATATACTTTAAAAACATATTCATAAGTAAAATCTCATAAATCCAATTCTCCCTCTAAACTTGGTTCAGTGAGGTGAATTTTAGTAACTTTTTTTCTTTCTTCCTTATTAGGATAGTTTTGGTCTAACCATTCTTGAGCATTTACCATAACTACTTATTTTTTTTACTTCTTCTCGCCAATACCAACACTAAACCAACTAAAACTACTCCCACTATCCCACAACCAATAACCCAAGCAGCTTTATTATCTTTATTACCAGTTAAACTATCATTCTTATTCTGTTTTTTTAACAACTCTGCTAACTGCTTCTTTTTCTTAGTTAAAAGTGCTTCTTCTTCCACTGTTCGCTTAGTTTTCTTTTCTAAAACCTTAATTTCTTGCTGTAATTTAGTAATTAGAACATTTAAGTCTAACGGTTGTTCTAACTCTTTTTGTTTATTTTCTAACTCAGTTAATTGTTGTTTTTTGCTCTCTAAATCACTCTGTTGCTGAGGAGTTTTGTTAGCATTAGATTCTAAATCACTAATTTCATTGCGTAATTGGTTCATATTTTGTTGATTTTTTGCTCTCTCTCTCTCTCTCTCTCTCTCTCTCTCTCTGCTATTCATTCTTTTAGTGTTTTTCAATAGATATTACAACCTAAAATGTCTTTATCACCAAAATCACCCTCTTTAATTTTTTGAAAGTCTTCAAAATCTAACTCATCATTATCTTTTCAGAACATTGTTTCATTCTCTAAAGAATTTATTAGACTCCTTTTGCGGCTGACATCAGCATTTAGCCATTGTTTAAAATCTGCTAACTTATATTCAGTCATAACTATTCTTCATTATTCTCGTAAATTACTTTTTTGGGACTTATTTCTATAAATTTTCTATGTATTTTTAATAAAAGGGTTGAGGGGGAAGTAATGCTAATAGTTTTAATCAATCGGATAACAATTTCTAATCCATAAGTGATTATTCGTGTTATCTTTCAATCAAAAAAAACAACGGTAATTCTCACCGTGATAAGCAGTCTCAAATTGGAAAATATCACGACCTCATAACAAATAACTATCCGGTAAAGGTTTTAATCTTTTACGTCCATTAATTTTATTCTGAAAAATATCCAAAATTAGTTGGTTAGTCATTACATCCTGATGATTTACTTGGTAGTGGTCAGTAATAGTTATTTGGTGGATAGTTCATTTTTTAAAAGTAAAAGTGAATAGACAAGAGTAAGTTCACCTTCGCTCACCATCGATAAACTGTGGCTTACCAATTAGTTTAAACTGTTCGGGCATAAAGTGATTTAGTTTTGGTTTGAGGGGGTTTTGTTTCACGGATAATAACTTTGATTTGAGTCGGTGTAAATAATTTATCAGCGTAAGTTATTAAGTTATCCAAGGTGAATTTATCAATTCAACAGAATAAGATTTGTAAAGTTTTATCTTTACTAAGTCCAATTCGGCGAGATATTTCTTCATCGCTGAGATGATTATCTTCCTGATAGGCTAATATCTTTTCACAAAGTTCATATTTAGCCTTTTCCAAACTAGTTGGATTTTCTGGTAAATCTTTGGCTACTCACGGATAATCAGGATCCTCAACCCTCGCCAAATATTCCTTAAAACTCTTAGTAGTAGTTGGGTTTTTTCTTTTTTTACTAGTTTTTGTCATAAGCTTATTAATTAGTTTTAGAGTTGGGTTAACTTAGTTAATAACTCTTGGCTAGTTTGCACTATTTGCTCATTCTTGGTCTTTTGGCTAAGGTAAGCGTTTCATTCTCTTTTAGTGAAGTAGTCTCGTCAGGCTGGGTTGATGGTTCCATCGGGGTTATGTTCTGGGACGGTGGGTTCGGTTAAACTAGTTATGGTTCAATCAGGTGGTATTTTTAATCGGTGTCTTGATTCGTAAAGAAAGTTCTCCGAGGTAAGAAAAGAAGCGTGGTGGCGGTGAAACTCGACTGCTTCTATCAATAAGTCTTTATGGTGCTTAATAAAAACTAATGGTTCGAGTTTAGTTTTTAGGTGGGTTCACTGTTCGATTATGGTTTCACTGGTTTTTTTTTTTTTTTTTTGTTAGTCATAATCTTTTACTCTCAACTAACTCCTAATTCTTGGGCTTTGGCTTTAATCACATTATTAATAGCACCAAAACAAACTCGGCGGATTAGATGATATAAATTATACTTATCAATATTACGAAAGTTTTTTAATTCGGCAATTTGAGCCTGCTCGTCAGCAGACAGTTTCACTCCATATTTTTCTCGGACCTCCTTATTATGGGAGTTTTCAGTGCGTAACTCACTTATAATGAGGAATAGGTCATGTAAAGCAAACTTTAAATCCTCTTTATTTTCGCTTGGTTGTTCCAGTTTCTTAATGAGTTGGTCTTTAGCCTGGATAATTGCTAGGGCTCCTTCCTTTCAATCAGCGAAATTCTCTTTTAAAACCTTTCAATTGCTGAGGGCTTAGTCTCGTAACATACTATTCTAATTGTTGACTTAACTCTTGAAACTCTTTAATTAGTTGGGTGAGAAATTTTTCATTCT